GGTAAAATGAATTAATAATAAATTAAATAAATAAATAAATAAAATATACTTACAGATGCTGAACCAAATCCAAGAAGAAAAATTGATGGAAATATGTTGACAATCGAAAATCTTGAAAAAACTGATACTGCCGTTTATCAATGCAATGCTTCTAATGTGCATGGTTATGCATTTGCAGATTTTTACTTAAATGTATTGGGTAAGTATATCTACATCAACTACTTGTATAGTACTGTACAGTACATATGATATATTTTAAAAAATATTCAATGTTTACTTTCATCATATATTACATAAATGAAAACAGACATTTTTTAAATATTTCCAAATTATTTGTTAGAAAATGAATTATTTGTCAAAACATTATATGATTATATGAAATTACATAATCATATAAAGTTATATATGAAATAAAAATTCATATTATCACATAATATTTGCTGATAAAGGTTAGCTAAAACTTCAAGTATATTTTTATTTAAAATAGAAATTTTATATATTATAGTAATGAGATTATTAAATTTTTGTGTTATACAATAAAAATTTTTAAACAGGATTATAATTAAAAAATTAAAATATATTTAACAATGATGAATTTATCACATGTGTTCACAGAATAGATGCATTACATAATAACAACTGTAATTTTAATAAATGTGTATTATAATGCATTTAATTATATGCAAATGTGTTTATTTTTTAGCTCTTCCACCAACAATTATTGAACGACCAGAACCAGTAACTATGGCTGTTGTTAGTTCTACAGTTACATTACGCTGCAATGTATTTGGAGCTCCAAAGCCTGAAATTAAATGGGAAAAAGATGGAGAAACTTTAGAAGGAGAAAGATTTACGGTAAAAAGTTACTTAAATAGGTTTTTAGATTATAAATTTACTATGTCTGAAAGCAAAAATAAAAATTCATAATTTAATTAATTACAACAATAAGAATGGAAAACTGAAAATTTTAAGATTTATATAGATTTTCTATCTTTTTATTTTTATTAAATGTAATTAACCGGCTAAATTATTATGATACAAATATTTAATCTTGATGATAATGTAGCTAATGAAATTTATTAATAATTCAAAAAATTTACAAATAGGGGTTTTACCATTGATTTTGAATATTTCATGGTTTAGTAATTTAATTTAAAAGTTCATTTAGCCATTAGTATCAAAAAATAATTTTTTTATTAATGATTATATTCAGCCAACTTAATTATACATTTTATTAAAGAACAATTTTATTGATATTGATAAGTTTAATGATCCAAGATGATTGAAAGTTTGAAAATATTTTAAAAAATAATTTTTTGGTTCCTTAATTTGCCCTGTTTGATTTTTGATTAATAAAAATGAGTCATTATTTTATGCCATATTTCTTTAGCATAAATTGTTAAATATTAGTTGTTAAAAATAATTAAATTATATATTACTAATATAAAAGCTGTCGTGTGTGTGTGTGTGTGTGTGTGTGAATTCCTTATAACTCCTGCAATTTTTCTCCGATCCAGATGAAATTTTGGTTATATTCAGTTTATATTCTGATGGAAAGTATAGGCTACTTATTTTGTGGAAATATTAGGCATAGAATAAACGTTTTTGAATTGATTTTATTGAATATATTGATTTTGGATCAGTGATCACACTTACGATGCAGTGATGTCAGTGACCATGTGACATTCATGCTTGATGAGGAAATTTCCCTTAAATTGCATTTTTAAATATTTTGGCAAATGGCATATTTTAAACTTACCTTCATTAAATTTAAAATTTAAACTTTAAAAAATGATAGCTGCATTGTGTCACTTCTATAACAAATTTAAAAAAAAAAATCTTTTCATATTGACCACATGACATTCTATTATCCAATTGGAAGTAACAATCTAACCAGCCCATTATTTAGAAAATGTTATAACTAATGTAACAAACATACAATTTGTCTATGTTTTATAATTGGATTTAAAAAGATTCACTATTTTGTCCAAAAAAAAAAAAAAGCCTAGGGAAAAGTATAAGAGTAAATTTGATCAGGTAAGACAGCAAAGAAACCTTTCAAAAGACAATAGAGTCAATGCCAGATTTATATTTTTTTAGGCTCTAAACTAACAAAAAATTGAGGTCTCTTCCCAATTTTTTTTTAGTTGTATAAAAAAGACACATACAGTAGATCCCCCTATAAGACGGTAGATACGTTCCGTTCTTTATGAATCAATTTTGTAGGAATCATAGTTTACGGACTACGGCTGTTTGAAAGGTTTTCTTTCATAAAATTAATCGATTCTAGACTAATTCGACTCAACATTTCCAAAATACGTATATTTTTTTGAAAATAATCCGTATAAACTACGTTATAAACAAAAAATTGTAGGATTGCTTACCGAGTGTGTACCGTTCGACTACGCCCGTTGCTAAAGCTTGGTTTCGTCGCGGAACAGCGCATCAAACCGCGGCCGCGATTTCTGATATTATTTTTCTGCGAAAACTTCGTTGACCTTTGGAGACATCCTTAATATAAATAATTTTTATGGCCGTTAAATAAGAAATGTTTCTTTCACAAGAAATGTATAAAATTACAGTACTGGACAGACGATAGGTCGCCTAACTCGCCGTAGCGTGACGCTAGACGGCGAAAAATATATATTTAATTATAATAAAGTTACAATAAATTAAGTTAATATATAATTATATATACAGTACCTAATTTATATATAATTAATATATAATTATATGTACAGTACCTAATTTATATATAATTTATATAATACTGTCCAGACGATAGAAATCTCTCCGTAGCGTGGCGCTACGGACGGCGGGTAAGTAGTTCGGCTGCCCGATGACGTTTTACGTATTATAGGAGTTATTTTTACCGTTGTTTACGGATAATGCCACAATTTTTATAGGAATCATAACTATAGGAAACGGTTTTATAGGGGGATCTACTGTATTTCTATTTACACAGATTATTAATACATGGCAAAGTCTTTATTAAATTATTTAACTTTAAGACATGTACAATATAAATTAAACAAAATGTAATATAAAATAAAAATTTAGAGGTCCCTTGAAAGCTGCAGCCCCAAGCTTAAGCTTATTTAGCTTAATGGTAAATCTGGCACTAAATAGAGTGTTTACTCAGAGTGCATAAAATTTTATAAAGAAAGATTTTAATAATATTTTAATATAAAGGCCATCATCTGTTTATGTGTGTTAAGTGAATTCTGTATAACTTGTACTATTTTTGTCAACTCCAGGTGAAATTTTGTTTTGTTGCTCTGTATTTACAATAGATAGTATAAACTACTTAATTAATTCATAGAAATATTAGCAATTCTTGAATTTCTTGAAATCTCTACTCTTCTCAATTCTTCAATCTCTACTTTTTCATAAAAAGTATTTCGTCATGCTTGAAGGGAAATTTCTAGTTATATATTTAATCATTTATCTTTTTCAGTTTAATAAATAAATTTGAAAAAGATATGTTTCTAGAACATTATTATTTACGTCCTTAATTCTTGATTCTGAAAAGAGTATTAAAATAAGATTTGGATTCACAGTTCACTTCTTATACTGAGCAAGGATACTTAAACATTGTTTATATAACAATTAAACTCTCACTCAGCAGAAAGAATAATAAGTAAAATCATCACTAAACAATGTTAACTGCTGAGACACATTTATTTGATTTAAAATAGAAATTTTATATATTATAGTAATGAGATTATTAAATTTTTGTGTTATACAATAAAAATTTTTAAACAGGATTATAATTAAAAAATTAAAATATATTTAACAATGATGAATTTATCACATGTGTTCACAGAATAGATGCATTACATAATAACAACTGTAATTTTAATAAATGTGTATTATAATGCATTTAATTATATGCAAATGTGTTTATTTTTTAGCTCTTCCACCAACAATTATTGAACGACCAGAACCAGTAACTATGGCTGTTGTTAGTTCTACAGTTACATTACGCTGCAATGTATTTGGAGCTCCAAAGCCTGAAATTAAATGGGAAAAAGATGGAGAAACTTTAGAAGGAGAAAGATTTACGGTAAAAAGTTACTTAAATAGGTTTTTAGATTATAAATTTACTATGTCTGAAAGCAAAAATAAAAATTCATAATTTAATTAATTACAACAATAAGAATGGAAAACTGAAAATTTTAAGATTTATATAGATTTTCTATCTTTTTATTTTTATTAAATGTAATTAACCGGCTAAATTATTATGATACAAATATTTAATCTTGATGATAATGTAGCTAATGAAATTTATTAATAATTCAAAAAATTTACAAATAGGGGTTTTACCATTGATTTTGAATATTTCATGGTTTAGTAATTTAATTTAAAAGTTCATTTAGCCATTAGTATCAAAAAATAATTTTTTTATTAATGATTATATTCAGCCAACTTAATTATACATTTTATTAAAGAACAATTTTATTGATATTGATAAGTTTAATGATCCAAGATGATTGAAAGTTTGAAAATATTTTAAAAAATAATTTTTTGGTTCCTTAATTTGCCCTGTTTGATTTTTGATTAATAAAAATGAGTCATTATTTTATGCCATATTTCTTTAGCATAAATTGTTAAATATTAGTTGTTAAAAATAATTAAATTATATATTACTAATATAAAAGCTGTCGTGTGTGTGTGTGTGTGTGTGTGTGAATTCCTTATAACTCCTGCAATTTTTCTCCGATCCAGATGAAATTTTGGTTATATTCAGTTTATATTCTGATGGAAAGTATAGGCTACTTATTTTGTGGAAATATTAGGCATAGAATAAACGTTTTTGAATTGATTTTATTGAATATATTGATTTTGGATCAGTGATCACACTTACGATGCAGTGATGTCAGTGACCATGTGACATTCATGCTTGATGAGGAAATTTCCCTTAAATTGCATTTTTAAATATTTTGGCAAATGGCATATTTTAAACTTACCTTCATTAAATTTAAAATTTAAACTTTAAAAAATGATAGCTGCATTGTGTCACTTCTATAACAAATTTAAAAAAAAAATCTTTTCATATTGACCACATGACATTCTATTATCCAATTGGAAGTAACAATCTAACCAGCCCATTATTTAGAAAATGTTATAACTAATGTAACAAACATACAATTTGTCTATGTTTTATAATTGGATTTAAAAAGATTCACTATTTTGTCCAAAAAAAAAAAAAAGCCTAGGGAAAAGTATAAGAGTAAATTTGATCAGGTAAGACAGCAAAGAAACCTTTCAAAAGACAATAGAGTCAATGCCAGATTTATATTTTTTTAGGCTCTAAACTAACAAAAAATTGAGGTCTCTTCCCAATTTTTTTTTAGTTGTATAAAAAAGACACATACAGTAGATCCCCCTATAAGACGGTAGATACGTTCCGTTCTTTATGAATCAATTTTGTAGGAATCATAGTTTACGGACTACGGCTGTTTGAAAGGTTTTCTTTCATAAAATTAATCGATTCTAGACTAATTCGACTCAACATTTCCAAAATACGTATATTTTTTAAAAAATAATCCGTATAAACTACGTTATAAACAAAAAATTGTAGGATTACTTACCGAGTGTGTACCCTTTGACTACGCTCGTTGCTAAAGCTTGGTTTCGTCGCGGAACAGCGCATCAAATTGCGGCCGCGATTTCTGATATTATTTTTCTGCGAAAACTTCGTTGACCTTTGGAGACATCATTAATATAAATAATTTTTATGGCCGTTAAATAA